TTGAAAAGTCAAGTAAGCCTATAGAATTGGTTTAAATGATGCAAATTTTTATTATTATTTATTGTTTATAAATAATATAATATGCATAATAAATAATCATACTTACTATTCCGATCAAGTATATATTTATTATCTGAAACATCCATTATATGCTTTTGAGAATATTTAAATTTAAAATAATTATCTTGGCCATCTTGTTGAATTGTTCCTTCATCAGGATTAACTGTCCATCCAGCAATAGATTTGTCTTGTTTACTAAGAGTTACTAAAAATTTACAATTAGGACTACACTTTATTTCATCAATTGGATGTCCATTATGTGTATCAATTATAGTTCGCTTTTCAAAAGCATTAACACTTATATAATTTGTAGTCGGATTTTTAGTATTATTTTCTGATACTTCACTTTTATCTGTCACTATTTCAATTTCTTCTTCCATTTTTATAAAAGATTAATTAAAAAATTTATTAGTTTTATTTTTTTTTTTTAAGAAATGTAAGGAGGATATTTATACTAGACACTCATTCGGTATTATTATAATTATAATTTTTTTTTGGTAAATAAATTTATTACACAAATATAAACAAATCGTGTAGCTGAGAACTTCTATTGTTTTGCATTTAACAAAGACAATTTTTCCTGCTGACTGGTAATTGGTTTTGGTTAAATAGTACATTCTCTTATCTGGTGCATGAACGCGATTCACATTCCAAAATATAAAGACAATTTGAATAACATAAATTTCTTTACAAGATTTATATTTAATTTAAAAAATTTTTTTTTTTTATGTAAAAAACCGGGAAATTTTATAAAACATGTTTGCTTAAAAATATAATATGAAAACAAATTTTGCTTTATTTAATTGATATTAATTAATCAATCTTGCTTCACCACCGTTCTTTCTTTCACCTTTTTCTGTTAAAAGAAAGATTGTTATTATTGTTACACGAAATCTATTTACACATTTTGTATGAAACTAAAACTTTAATTACACGAATTAATTGAACCTAAAAATATGTGCAACAAAAACAAATTCTTAAAAGACTGGATTGGCGCAAACTTAATAAATAAAACTCCAAATTTAATTTTATTGTTTTATAATTTAATTAATGATGGTGGTGTTGACATTAGATGTAGCCAGCCAACGTCGGTATGA